TTCTGCGTTTTTTCCACAGGTTTGGCATGTCTAGCCCAGAAGCTTTCCGCCTCCAGGAGAGGCTGGAAATGATCCACCCAACCTCAGTGCTGCCCCGTGCCACCAGCTCCGTGTGGGCGAGATCTTGTGGCCATGCCGGCAGTGACGCCTCTCCCTGCCAAGTGCTGGGGTCAGGGGCCTTGCCCCATCCTGCCAGCCATGTAAACCAGATGATGAGGGCGAGGATCAGGCCCCATCCCCCACCACACAATCCCTCTTCAGCCACAATCCTATGGGTGTCAGTGGGGCACCGGTTGCTTTCGGGCCTTCCCTAGGTCTGGAGAAGCCTGCAGCCTGCGACTCACCCTCTCTGCCCTCCAGGACCCTGCCAGCGCTGACCCCAGGCCTCCAAGAAGAGGCGGGTTAAGCTTTTGTGGGGCCCTGGACCAAAGCAAGTGGGGTCCCCTCCCCCACATTCTCCTGCCAGGGAAATGAGGTTGGGATGTGGGGGCTTCCCCTGCTCCCCGGCAGGAGCGCTGGGTGGGCAGGCGGAGTGAGTCGGGGCATGGGATTGCCCATTTTTTTGTCCCCCCTAATTGGCCAGGGTCCCTGGGCACGGGCTCCATTGACCCAGTGACTAATCTGCCACTGCCTCCAAGCCAGCAGCCACGACTGCATTGTCGGTTACCCACATCACCCTTGGAGCCCCAACATCCCAGCCAGCGGGAAGGGGGCTAATCTCGGATCTGGAGATACACCACAGCCGAGCCTGGGAGATTATAAACAAGTCCCCTGGTTATTCCCAAAATCACTCCTACCCTGGTGGCCGCAGGCCCTGGGATGGGAGACCATGGATCTGACAACCCAGGGCCCGTTCCCCACTGGCTGTAGGTTTCTGGGCCGTGCTGCTGCCAGGGTAGCGGGGTGAACGAGAGCCGCGAGGAGCAGGGCAGCTGGGCGGGGACGCTGCTGACAGCAGACTGGGGTGAGGATGGGGGGAGCGAAATGGAAATTCATCAGGTCCCAGCTCAAAGCAGCTCCAGGAGTCAGCGTGTTGGTGGGCTGGAGCAAAGGGGCTGGGACTCAGGGCTCCTGGGCTTTAGCCCCATCGCTACCACAGACTATGTGACCTTCTACACACCACTCCCCACTCCGTGCCTCAGTTTCCCCAGCTGTAGCCTGGAGGAGAGAGCACTGCCCTGTGCAGCTAGGTCGCTCCTGCATGCAGTGGCTGGGGATCCCTGGCTGGCAGGCGCTGCAGATTCCCAGCGGTGGGTGTCATGCTCTGCCCTACACTCAGATCCCCTCACCCTTGGGTTCGAATCTGTCCCATGCTGCCCGTTGGGTGGCTGCTGTGTAAAGGGAGCCTGAGGGGACTTGGTGCAGGTCGTAGCAGGGCAGGTGTCACCCCTCCTTGCTAGTCCCAGCAGGAAGGCCATGGGCTGAATCCCCTCTGCTCCCTAGAGGGCATCCCCCCAAGCAGGGCTGAGATGGGCTGCCTAGAGGGGGGGGTCACTCCCCCTGGACCCGAGCTGTGGCTAGAGGCCTTGTGGCTCCAGGGCTGTGAAACAGGAGAGTGCTTCTCATGGGTAAGAGAGCCTAGGACAGCTGGGTCCTTCCCACAGCTTGCCACGCGCCCGCAGGCACAGGGGATATCAGGCAAATAACCCATCTCCAAACCTATCCGAGAGAACCCCTGGCTGCTCCGGGATGACCGGCGCCAGAACGAGCCCGGATCCCCTGGGGCCCAGTTGGTTACGCACCGTGCACTTGGCAGCAGTCTAGAGCCCTGGATTCACAGCAGCGTTTGGGGGCAGCGACGGGCGCAGGCTTGTTACAAACCTCGGCTGACAAGCTCGTTTGGTGGACATGGTTGGATGCCACGTTCCATGGCCTGGCCATGGCCCTGGGATACCCTGGCCCCCTCAGAGCCGCTGCTGACGCCAAGGGGAGCTGCACAGAGATGGGGGAGAACGTGGCCTGCAGGTAGCAACTCTCATAGTTATTCCTAGGCCCTTCTTGTCGCATCCAGCATGGCCTGATAGGAGCCTCTGCTTCCCTGGAGGCCAGCCCTGCCCCATTTCTCTCCCCCGCTCCCTTGGCACAGTGCATCTTTCCCGTTCTTCCCGTCAGCCGTTGCCACCCGGGAGTGCCCCCCCGTCCAGCTGCTCGAAGGATCCGCAATAGGACACCGAACACAGACACTGAAAGTGCCATCAATGGGCTTTGGAGTCAACACTGGGCTCAGTGCAGCGTTCGCAGCTCTCCGAGCCCTTGCTTCAGGCTCTCTGCAGACTCAGGTAGGCAATGCTATCTCACAGGGCACGTTTTCAGGGGTTTCTGCACTACCCCGCTGGCTGGACATTCCCTTTGCGGTTCAAACGAAGACCGAGATGCCGCAGGATTTGAACGTGCCACGCAGGCCGCAGAAATACATCCAGCGGGCGGGGTCCGGCTCGGACACTGCGGCTGTAAACTCTGAATGGTAAACAGACACCCGAAGACCACCTTTCTGTGTGAAACCGGTGTGCCTCCCAGAGCTCCCACCACCCCGCAGACCCCCATTACTGCAAGAACGTGACAGAAGGACAAGTATTTGGCCATGCAACCATTGTGTGCAAATGGCTGCATGGTCCAATCCCACTGCAGGAAAGGTGACTATTCTCTTCCCTTTAATTTCAGGAAAGCCATGTGGCTAGTGGTTAGACCACGGGTTTGCTGGGTGACCCTTGGGCTTTCCCCTCCTGTGCCTCAGTTTCCTCTTTGGTAAAATGGGGATAGTCATGGCGCCCATTGCAAGCGCTTTGAGCTCAGTGGCAGGGTCGTTCTGTGCGTAGCTAGACATGAGCAGGGTCTGAAAGTGACCCAGGCACAGAAAGGTTTGCGGGATTGTCTGAGTATCTGGATTGTGGCAGTGCCTGGGACGCCACACAATGAAAAGGCAGCCCCCCGCCCGCGATTTGTGCCAGTTTAGTGAAACCAGCGTCGCCCCCGTGAGGACACACTGATTGCATGTCAGCTTGAACCAGTTCCCAATCCTCTGAAGTTAAACTGCTAGAACCTGGTTCAAACAGAGACGTGCACATGGGAGGGTTTTGCTCCATTTAAAGGGAACAACTCTCCATGCAGGCCCATCTACCAACCGGCCTTGGGGGCAAGAATCTTCTCCTTCAGGCTCATGCGAGTTCTGGGCTCAGCGAAAACTGATTACTGCCCCCCACACCCGACGTGCCAGAGAAGCGGATGAGTCGCCCTGCCCCAGAGCAGGCCCTAGTGGGAATTATACCCTCCCTCAGGTGGCCCCACCTCTCTGCCCTCGGGGGAGGTGGCCGATGGGTGTGGGAGTGAGTGTAGGGGGCGAGCTGTCCTCCAAGGGGGGGGCCCTGGTGGAGAGGCGACCTAACACCACGGGGGACTGGGCAGCACAAGAACTGCCTCCTGCTCAGTGCTCAGGACAGGGAAGCTGGACTCCTGGGTTCCGTTCCCAGCTGTGCTGCTGACCGGCTGCCTGAGCTGGCCCGAGTCATTTCCGCTCATTGCGCCTCAGTTTCCCCACCAACTCAGGGGGCGGAACAGCAGCCGAACTGCCTCTCCAGATCCCGGGGGGGAAGGAAGAGCTGCTGGCGTGTGCAGCGCTCGCCGGGGCCGTGGCAGCAGTCAGATGAAATCACACGCCAGGGGTCAGCATTGCGTAGCGACGAGGGCACCAGGCTGGCGCTCAGGGGAGCGGGGCCCATTCCTAGCTCTGCTGGGTGACCTGGGCCAGGCTGATAAGACTTGTCCATTTCAGGGGAGGGGCGAGGATGAGTCGAGGACCGCGCCCTCCCCAGTTCTGACGCCCAGGAGACAAAGGGGGTCAGGGGCTAGAACACCCCCAGGGCGTGGCCCCAGCGATCCCCATCCAGGCAGGGGTCGCACAGGAATGCTTGTTACTACACAGCCCAGTTCTGTTTTGTCAGGACATTTATTGGTGCCGCGAGCACAGGGCCCTGCGGTCCTGGTGCCGAGAGCTCCCTGGGGCAGGCCTGGCTGGCCATGGCACTGGAGCACGGGGCTCATTCATTTCTCCAGCGCCCCGGGGCCAACAGGCACTAGAGCCGAGATGCCTGACGCAGCCCGGCGCCGAGGGGGCGGTTCCACCATGCGTATAGGGCAGATCCAATGGGGTTCGGCCGGTTCCCCCACCCAGGACACAGGGCGTCCCCTAAAGGGCTCAGTGGCACATTCCTGCCTGGGTGGGGGTATGGGGCCCATGGGAACCTCTCAGGGACCAGCCCAATCCCGGTGCCCTCTGGCCACCGCCCCAGCTGCCAGGTCCCGTGCTGTATGCTGGCCAACAGCCTGGCACCTTCAACCAGCCATAGAGCTCCCTTAAACAAGACAGTCTGCCTGGGTGTGAGCCCCCCGTGGGAACTGAGCCAGAACAGGGAGCAGCTCAGCCACCCATAGAATGGAGGACAGGGGACCCCAGGAGGTGGGAGTTGGGGGAATGGGGATGGGAGACCCTGGGGGCATGGAAGTCAGGGGGCAGGTTGACGGGGAAGCCAGGGGGAATGGGGGCAGGGAGACCCTAGGGGGATGGGAGGGTGGGGGTGGGCGGACCCTGAGGGGAGAGGGGGCGGGGGGATCCTGGGGGAGGGGAGGCTGGAGGACCATGAGGGCAGAGTGGCTTCATGGGGCCTGTCAGCACCGGTGCACCCTCCAGGCATTACCAGGCTGGGCAAGACTCCTCCCCGCCAGGCTGTGCCCAGGGCTTCATCTGCCCCAGTTCCCAGGACCCCCAGGCCGCCCCGCTCAGGATCCCTACCTAGCAGCCAGCTCCTTCTGGGGGCACCAGCGCTGGGCCCTGGCTGCTGGGGGTGGCTGGGAGCGGCAGGGAACAAACCCGTTCAGCAAGTCTGTGGGAGCTTGGGGCAGCCGGGTTCTCGCTCCCCGGGGCCACAGCCTCCAACACCCCCAGCCAGGGTGTCGCAGCTCTCACTCTGCGCCCAGCTCCCCACCCAGCACGGCCACCACAGGCCTCAGCGCTTCGCCCGCCGCTTCCGCAGCTCCTCCTGCACCCGCTGCCTCAGGGCCTCACGCAGGGGCGGCTCCAGTGGGCTCCGGGCACACACCTTCTCCGTCACCTCCTCAGGGCTGTCGTCCTGCAGTGAGAGGGGCAGGGCCTGCATCAGCTCCGGAAACTCCTGCCACCCAGCTCCCGCATGCGCCCAGCCCTCCCTCCTGGCGGAGCGAGCAGCTGAGCGCCAGCTCCCTGCACCGCCCCAGGCAGCATGTGCTAGGGCCCCAGCATGCCCCAGCCGGACAATCCTGTCACTCTGCGCTGGCTGCAGCCTCTGCCATGGGGTCTGCGGGCCCTGGCTCCTGTCTGTAGAAGGGGAGGGCCGCTGGGCCGGCAGCTGGCATGTGGAGGTGCCCTCTGCCCCCGGAGAGACGGGGGAGCAAGGGGAGAGGGCGAGAGACACCAACGGGATGGAGGGACCACACAGAATGCTAGGAGTGACAGCACCCCCTGCTGAGCCCCCTACCCTGCTCTCCGCATCACGGGGCCCCGTCAAGCAACTGCCCCACTCCCCAAACCACGGCGCCCCCTGCCGAGCCCCCCCCCCCACTCCCCACACCACGTGCCCCCTGCTCCACTCCCCACAGCACAGAGCCCCCTGTCAAGTCCCCCGTCCCACTCCCCAAACCACGGCGCCCCCTGCTCCACTCCCTGTAGCACGGCGCCTCCTGCTAAGCCCCCCACCCTGCTACCCACAACACGGTGCCCCCTGCCAAGCCCCACACCTCCTCCCCACAGCACGGCACCTTCCGCTCCAGTCCCCACAACACGGCGCCCCCTGCCAAACCCTACACCTGCCTCCCCACAGTACAGCCCACCCCACTCCAGCCCCCTGCTGAGCCCCCCACCCCTCTCCCCACAGCACAGCACCCTCCGCTCCAGTCTTCACAACACAGCGTCCCCTGTTGAGCCCTCGCCCTGCTCCCCACAGCACAGTGCCCCCTACTCCACCCCCTGCAGCACGGCGCCCCCTGCTGCACCCCATAACCCTCTTCCCTGAGCTGAGCCCCTGCCCTGCTCCCTGCAGCCCAGGCCCCTTAACACCTCGCTCAGTCATTGGGGTCAGCACTGACACAGGGGGAGAGCGCTCCCTACTAGCTCCCACCCTCTCCTGCCAGGAGATCCCCTCCCTGCCGCCCTGTTCTCCTGCCACCCCCTGCCTGGTTTGCCAGGCACATACCTGGTGTACAATGACCGAGATGACCTCGCCGCTGTCGGCCTCATACTCTAGGCAGAAGAGCTCTGTGCCGCGGGGGTCTGGCTCTGTGCTGGAGCTGCTCTCGCTAGACCCCTCGTACTCCAGGCCGCAGGCTGGGTCAGCTCGACCTGGGGAGCGTAAGGGAGCCGATGAGGGGAGTGTGGCCAGGCGGTGCCTGCACCCACCCAGAGAAAACAGGGCATGGACGCAGCAGTCTGGAAATGGAGTCCTTGAACCTGGCACCAGGAATCCATCAGATTTAAGGGGCGTTGACCTAATGCCCCTCAATCCCGACCCGCAGCCCCCTGCTAGCTCAGCCCTGGGATCCCCACTCCACAGCCCTGCTGCTGCCCCTCAATCCCGACCCGCAGCCCCCTGCTAGCTCAGCCCTGGGCTCCCCACCAGCTCTGCCAGTGCCCCTGAATCCCGACCCGCAGCCCCTCAGAATCCTGCTAAGCAGAAGTGGCCAATCGTGATCATCTTTGGACTGGGATGGGCACCAGTTAGGAGGCCCAGAGCCAGGTCCTGCGGGCGACCGTCACTGGGATTTGGACCCAGGGCTCTGGGCGAAGGGACCGCGTGGTTAAACCCCTGCTCTGTGGCGCTGCCAGTGACCAAGGAAAGGGCTGGGCATGCCAGGCCTGTCCCCATCTGATCCCTCAGCCTGGCCACGGCCCAAACCTGGCTGGTCGGTCAGCCGCCCCTTGGAACTGACGCCCGTCGCACCAAAGGTGCAGACACGGTGCTGGGGGGATTCTGGACTCGCCCCCACCAAACTCAATGACTTGGATCAGCACAGGAGCTAACAACGCCTGGGCAGCCCCCCCAATGAGGGCTGAGGGGGAGGCGCCCCCACTCTGCTGTACACATGCCCCATCCGCTCCCCAGTGGGAGCACAGAAAGCAGGGCGCCAGCTGTGCTCACTTCTCCGGCAGGGGTGGTACACCTGCTGGTCGGGTTTCCTGGGCCGGGGCGGGGTCGGTGTGTGCCTCTTCTTCACCTTCTCCTTGGCCTGCTTCATCTCCCGGTCGTAGTCGTCCCTGATGGGGAGGAGAGTGAGGCCTGGGGCTGCAGCTGGGTATGGGGCTGGGAGCCGGGACAGGCCTGCCTGGAGATGCCATTGATTTGCCACACCTAGGGGGGTGCACGTGGGGCGTGTTTGCATAGGCCTTGTGGCAGGGCGAGGGGCTGGTGCTGGGGGGGGGGGGGGGGGGTGTTACCTGCCCCATCTTACCCTGTTCTCCAGTGCCCCCCCCCTTACAGGTTATCTGCAGAGGGGGATGGGGGATAGGCACCTACCCTTTTCACCCAGCTAGAGAGAGGCGTCCTGCTTGCTGTTTGCATTAGTAGTTGGGGTCCCATTCCCACCCAGCCCCGGAGGCTCCACAGCTGAACAGAGAACTGGCAGGGCTGGTACACAGATGCCATGCCCTTGACCCGAAATGTGCCAGGGTGGGGGCAGGCGTGACCTGGGAGGGGGTTGAATACCAGCCCCCCCAGCCGGGGTCTCCCAGGCCTGCACCCAGTGAGGGTCCAGCTCCCCCAACCCTTGCTGGCGGGGGGGGGGGTCTGCAGGGCTGGGAGGTCTCATGTGGGCGGGGGTTCCCTGGGGGCAAGGACCAGGAGTCCCAGCCCCGGGACGGGGTCAGGTACTTGGGGGGGTGTCCGCGCACAGGATCCGGCACTTGGAGATCCAAGGGGCGGGGTCCGGGCCAGGTGCCGGTGCCGGGAGATCCGGGGTCCGGTCCTGGTGGGGCAGGGTTCGGTCCCGAGATCCGGGGTCCGGTCCCGGGGAGTTCGGGGGGCAGGGTCCGGTCCCGGAGGTCCGGGCCGGTACCTGGCGACCTGGTTCCGCCGGATGTGCCGCACGAAGCCGTGGCTCATGTCGAGCCGCCCCCCCGGCCGGCAGCCGCCCCAGGCCGGGCCCCGCTCCGCCTCCGGCCCCGCGTCCATCGGCCCCCGCCTCGCCCAGCGCCGGAGAGCGGCGGCGCCGGGGCCCTGAGACCCGCCCCCGGCCCCGCCCGGCCGAGCGCGGGGAGCCGCGAGAGACTGACTCAGACCCCGGCTCCTCCGCACCTGGTCAGGCCCCCCCGTCCCCGGGGCCAGCCCCTCCAGACCGGGATCAGCCTCCCGGCCCCAGTCCCCGGTCCGGAGCCTCCCACCCCGGGACCAGCCCCCCGCGTCTCCCTAGGGCCGCCCCCTACCCGGGGCAGGCACCTGCACCCCCCTGGAGCAGAGACCATTCACCCTCATCCCCATCCCTGTGTCCCCCCCATACCCCCTACAACCCAACACCACCCTGTACCTGTGCATTCACCCCCCGCCCCGTGCCTCGCACCCCCACACCGAGCTCTGCGCAGTGCCCCCCACTTCTGAGTCACCTTTGCACTGCCCCCGTCACTGGCACACCAGCGCCAAATGAGGTGGGAGCGTTTGACACCCTAGGGTGAGAAGCCACAGGGCAGAGCCGTGCGCCAGGCGGTCCGCGTTGGATATTGTATCTGTGCAGAGGGAGGTTATGTCACGGCAGGCCTTTAGCCCGGGGGCTCATAGGTTCAGTTGCACCCCCAGAAATCAAGAGCGCCAACCCTCAGTGGTGCTGTGACCCCGCTCCCTCAGATTTGGCCTGGCTGCCCCTCCATCAGTGGCACTGCCACCCTGTGCGCCAGATTGCAAAGCAGGGGGCCGGGCCCAGCCCTGCAGCACAGAGCCGCTGCGCCAGGGTGCGTGTGGGGCGGACATAGCGCACCCGCGGAATTGGGAGGCTATGGCCATCCCTGCATAAAGGCAACTTCGTCTCAGAGCTTGTCTACACTCAAATGTAGCACTTCAGTGTAGACACTACCCACCCCACAGCAGGGGTTCTCCCGTTAGTCACCTCCCCACGGGGCAGCAGTTAGGTCCCCAGAAGAATTCTTCCGTCCACCTAGTGCTGTCTACACTGGGGGTTAGGTTGGCTTAACTACGCCATTTGGGGGGAGAGGGGGAATGTGTGGATTTTTCACACCCTTGAGCGAAGTAGTTAAACCAATTTAATTTTCTAGTGTAGACCAGACCTAAGTCAAAGCCTCTGGGTGTGAATGTAATGCCAATGCTAAACAATAATAGATTTGAGAGACAAGGTAATATGTTTTATTGGACCAGCTTCTGCTGGTGAGAGATACAAGCTTTTGAGCCACACCGAGCTCGTCTTCAGGTCTGGGAAACCAACTCAGAGCGTCACAAGGTGTTAACTGCTTATGCCAAAGAATCGGTTCCACCTTGTATTTAGCTGTGACGCTGGAAGTGCCTTTCCCAGCCCTGCAGAAGAGCTTGGTGTAGCTTGAAAGCTTGTCTCTGTCACAGAAGTTGGTCCAATAAAAGATATTGCCTCCCGCACCTCATCTCTCTAATCTCCTGGGGCCGACATGGCTGCAATGCCTATTGCTGTGTTGGCAATTTCAGGCCTTCATAAATCATGAGCTTGGCTTAACAATCATGAGATTTTAAAATCAGTAACTGCTGCAGTTGGCTTCCGTGGCCTTGCGGCTTGTCAGGCCTCGGGATTCACGTTTTCTGGCTTTTCTCCCCACACACAAGGTCTTCCACGAGAGCCCAGATCCTCACCCCGTCACTGGACTCCAGGAGCTGGGGCTTTAGGAGACATGCCAGGGTTGCAGGGATCAGACGCTGGGGGCAGGGCAAGGGGCAGCAGCACAGACACGAGACACCAGCCCTCTGGGGAGCAGAGTGAGGCCACAAAGCCCCAAGCTGCCATTGCCAATGATCGCTGCATAAAGGGGAGACTGTCTCTTTAAATAGGAACTCCGAGAAGACCGGCGGTCGGCCCATCCCACAAACACTGGCTGGACAGCAACCAATGCGCATGCGCGAAGGGACGCCGTAAGAGTGCGCAGGCGCCAAACTGATCCTCGCGCCTCCCTTTGGACGGCTGTGCGCATGCGTCTGCTACTGCACATGCGTGTGGGGAGGGCAAAGGTGCCGCTGGCCTGTGTACGCGCGTGCGGCTGCGTCTGTCACTCCGCGCATGCGCAGTAGTGGCTGGAGCGGCCCGGAATGTCCGGCCGGGTGAAGCGGGAGCGGGAGTCCCGGCCGTCCCCGCGGAGCTCGGCCTCGGGCCGGGTGAAGCGGGAGCCGGCGGGGTCGCGCGGCTCCTCCCGAGGGAAGCGCGAGGCGGAGCCCGAGCGGGTCCGGGTGAAGCGCGAGCCCGAGGACGGTCCGCCCCGCGTCAAGCGGGAGCGCGAGGCCGAGGAGGAGCCGGAGTCGGAGCCGGAGCCGACAGGTGGCGGCGGCGGGGGGCCCGGGGGGGGCGGTGGGGCGGGGGGGGTGGGGGTCCCTGAGCCGTGGCTGGGACTGGTCAGTGCTGGGCACCCCGCGGCCCATGCTCCGGCCTCTCTTGCTTCAGAGCCCCGACTCCCCTGGGCCCACCATGGGCTGGGCCAGAGCGATCTGCTGGAGCCGCCGCTGGCCGGGCGCGGGGCAGCGAACAGCCGAAGTCGCTTTGGTGACGGTTGTCCGAGCTGGGTTCTGCTCTAGCTCTTGCCAGACCCGCTGACCAAAGTCAAATTCCTTCCCCCGTTTGGTGCTTCTGTGTCCCTGTGGTGGAGATGGGGCTGGTGATACTCACCTCGCTTTGCCATCTCCAGGTGCGAGGTTCTGAGCATTGAAGGTTTGATTTTAGGAGGAAATACTTTAACCCACGTGAGGAACAAGGGGAGAGGTCGGTTCTCAAGCTAGTTCTCACCCCAGTTCAGGTTCTCTAGTCAGTGTAACTAGTGTTCTCATGTAGGCAGCCTTAACAGAGTACAAAGTGCTGGTGTCATGCTCCCAGCAGCCTGTGTGGGTTATTTTCTCCTGAGGAAATGCCATGTGGTTCTGGGGTTTCTGTCTCTGAAGCGTTGCTTTTCAGTGGCAGGTACCACTTCAGGAAAACTGTTAATTCCTTAGCCCCTGGGAGTGATGCTGGAGTTGTTTCTAATCCATTTGTGTGGGTCTTTATTCCAGTGAGATATGGCCGATTTGATCCCGAGGACCGGCGCAGCAGACACTGCCCATACCTGGACACTATTAACAGGTCAGCATAGAGACAAAGCAAACACTTGTAACACAGGGCATGGCAGAGTAGTGGCCTAGTTACAGTGGTTCTCATCCTTTCTCGGACTCCTGTACCCCTTTCAGCAGTCTGATTGGTCTTGCATACTCCAGCTTTCACCTCATTTAAAAACTACTTGCTTACAAAATCAGACAGAAATACAGAAGTGTCACAGCACACTAGTACTGAAAAATTGCTGACTTTCTCATGATTAAATCAATTGTAATTTAAATATTGTACTTACTTTTCAGAGTGTAGTATATAGACCAGTACAAACAAGTCATTGTCTGTTTGAAATATTAGTTTGTACTGACTTTGCTAGTGCTTTTTATGTAGCCTGTTGTAAAACTAGGAAAATATCTAGATGAGTTGATGTATCCCCTGGAAGACCTCTGCGTACCCATTGGCCTAGCTCTTTGTGGGTACTAGATACACTCACAGACATTTATATATTAGGACCTAATACATAAATGTTTGTGAGTGTATCTAGTGCCCACAAAGAACCACAACTGTTTTCTGGAATAGCAGTCTCTGCTCAGGACTGGAATAGTAGCTGTTGCTACAGGGCAGGGGTGAGCTGCATCCGCAAAGGTTGAGCAATGCCAGCAGGAGGAACAGGACTGGAATGGCAAGGGATGATACATATCAGGATTGAGATGCAGCTCTGATTTTTAAAATGATGTGAGATCTTAGTTCCTGTGAGAGCCCAGAACCAGGAGGAAGGGGCTCTCTCATATTTGAGGTATTGTCACGTGCAGTGTGGTACCAAGCAGCCTTCCAGTACTGTAGTGTGGGTCACACGTGATCATTTTTCTGTTGACCTTGGTTCTCTTGAGCTCTGTCAGATTCATGAGAACGTAGGACAGGAGGGGACCCAATGGTAGGCAATGGAGTGGACCCTACTGGACCCAATGGTAGGCAATATTTGTCTGACTGTTTCAGGGTAGCTCTGCTAACTTGCTATTAACCTGCCGTTTCAGGAGTGTTCTGGATTTTGACTTTGAGAAGCTGTGCTCCATCTCACTCTCGCATATAAACGTCTATGCTTGCCTCGTGTGTGGGAAGTACTTCCAGGGTGAGTTCACTGCTGTGCTGTATATCTGCCTCTGCAGCAAACAGAAGCACTGAATGGGGGTGTTACCCTGGCTATTTGAACACTTTGGGGGCTCACTTAAAGAGAAGGATATTCCATTTGTCTTAAGTGACAATTGTCTTTCCTTTTCCTGCGGGCCCTGAATTCCTAAAGCTATTTTACCTTCAAATTGCTGTCAGAACGTGGCAGACCCTTTTCTTAACCATTGCTGTGGCTTGTGCAGGGGACATAGCAAATGTGGGTGGCTGGAGGTCAGTTCTGCATGGATATATTGCTCGTCTAAACGTGTGTTTAGGTGCTGTTCTATGGTTCCTTCTTTGCAAAGTCCCCTTGAAATCAACATGGCCAGTGGCTTATTTCATTTTAGTGAAGGCATGTGCAGTTTAAAAGAAAATAGCTTGGGAAGTAACTGAATGTGGGGAACTAATTGTCAGCGTTGGGCAACAAGGCTCCCATTTTAACATTAGCAGGAATCCTATGACTGGATCCCAGGGTTCTTGTAGCTAAATCCCACCCTGCCTTTATGGAAATCTATCTCCCGAGCATGTGAAGCTGTTTTAACATTTATTTTCCTTCAAAGTACCCCCCAAAAATTCCAGTTCCCCCTGAGGCCTGTTCCCAGGTGTGCTAGATACTCAGCAAAAGTGCCTAAAACCAGAGGATTCTAGCGCAGGAGAAGGCAACCTATGGTACACGTGCCGAAGGCGGCACGCGAGCTGATTTTCAGTGGCATTCACGCTGCCCGGGTCCTGGCCACCGGTCCGGGGGGCTCTGCATTTTAATTTAATTTTAAATGAAGCTTCTTAAACATTTTAAAAACCTTATTTACTTTACATACAACGATAGTTTAGTTGTATATTATAGAGTTATAGAAAGAGACCTTCTAAAAACGTTAAAATGTATTACTGGCATGCAAAACCTTAAATTAGAGTGAATAAATGAAGACTCGGCACACCACTTCTGAAAGGTTGCCGACCCCTGTTCTAGCGTATTCCTCCAGAATAAAATTAACAATGAGGGTGGGGCGTGGAGGTCTCTGGGATTCTCCTTTGGATTGTAAGCTTGTCTTGATCTGTAAAGCACCATGTGCACCCATGATGCGATATAACAATTTTCCCACCATCCTGTGGCACACCTCTGCCTGAGGAAGGCTACGTGTTGCTTTCCCAGAGCTCACTGTTGCCTTTGCTAGTCTGCGAGACGCCTCCACTTGTTCCTGTCTCCAAAGGGCTGAGCAATCTTCCTCTAGAGCAGTGTTTCCCAAAGTGTGGTACGTGTACCCCTGGTGGTACGTGAAAGGGTTTCAGGGGGTACGCGGCAGAATTTTTTATTTTACTTTATCATAGGTTTTTTTAGCAGCAGAAAACAATTCACTAAAATTTAATATACAAGAATGGTGTAAACTTGTACAGTAGAAATACACAGGTTTACATTGAAACTAATATGATAACACGTTCAGTAACATCTAATAGCACAGCAGAGCTGATGCAACCCACGCGTGCGCGTTACCACGGCTCGGGCAATACACTTGCCTTTGTGGCATGCGCAGAAGTCATACTGACGGATAAAAGATAAAAGTGAATAACTATTCGTAGTAATCTAAAGATCGTAGCAAGTACATACTTGGTGTGTATCAATATACAAAATTTCTCTTTTTGTTTTTGTTAAACCCATTTACAATGGATCGCTGGCTAAAAACGGGAAGTTTGAAACGTACAAAAGAAAATTATGAAGGAAATACGAATGTTAGTGATAATTATGCTGAAAAATGCAGTGATATGGCTACATCAGACAATTGTGACAACAAAATTAGTGAACCGTGCGAATCATCTGTAAGTTTATTGAACGTATCAGCTGCAAAGAAAATGAAAAAAGCCCGCAAATATGTTGAAAAATATCTTAAACTGGGATTTTCGTGGACTGGCGATGAGGTGGAGCCTGTTCCACTATGTGTGATTTGTTACGAGACTCTCACAAATGAAAGTATGAAACCATCCAACCTAAAACACCATTTCGATAGCAAGCAAAGAATACGAGGGAAAACCTGTAGAATTCCTCAAAAATAGGCGCAAAGATCTCCAAAAGTCCCAGAAAACAATTCATAATGTGACGGGAGGTGAAAATATGAAAGCTTTGGAAGCTTCATATAGTGTGGCTTACTTAACTGCAAAGTCTGGAGCTGCTGAAGTGATTGGTGAGACATTAGTAAAACCTGCAGCCAAAGTAATGTTGCAAGTGATGATTGGAGGCAAGGCTAGCAAAGCGATAGATTGTGTCCCCCTCTCAAATAACACTGTTCATCGTAGAATCACAGATATGGCCGAAAACATAAAGCAGCAATTATTGTCAGGAGTACAAAAGAGTCGCTACTATGCACTGCAAGCGGATGAATCCACTGATATTGTGAATTTGTTTGTCAGATACGAGCTGAATAATGAAGTCCACGATGATATTTTGTTCTTCCAACCTATGCCAACGCATACAACTGGAGAAGCTATTTTTAAAGTTATTGATGACTTTATCAAAAACAATGACTTGGATTGGAGTCATTGTGTTGGAATAAGCACGGATGGCGCCAGAGCCATGATTGGTTCGAATAAAGGAGTTGTTGCATGTATTCAAGCTGTTGCGCCAGAAGCAAAATGGACTCATTGTTGCATCCACAGGGAAGCACTCGCCACCCAGAACATGCAGGCAAATCTAAAGCAAGTACTGGATGAAACTGTGAAAATAATCAATTTTGTGAAAGGCCGCCCTCTGAATGCCCGGCTGTTTTCTCAGCTTTGTGATGAGATGGGCAGTGATTACACACCAGTCCTATTTCACACTGAAGTGCGTTGGTTTTCACGTGGAAAAGTTCTGAATCGCCTGTTCGAGCTGTGAGAAGAACTGCAAGTTTCTTTAGATGAAACCTTTAACCCCTGCGAGACCGTATACACGACTGGAAATGGCTATGCAAACTAGCATATATTGCAGATCTCTTTGATCATTTAAACAACCTCAATCTATCCTTGCAAGGGAAACTCCTATCCATATTCCATGTTCAAGACAAAGTGAGCGCCATGGTCGCAAAATTGAAAGTATGGCATAAACGTCTTAGTTGTCGTGAACTGGATTCTTTTCCATCTCTTCATGACTTAGTAATAAATTCGACTAACGAACTTGATAGTGATGTGTTGCAAGCCATGAAGCTGCATTTGGAAAGCTTGCAGAAAGATCTTCGTAAGTATTTCCCTGAACCGGACTGGACTTTTGAATGGATAAGGAACCCTTTTATCATCAATGTTCAAACATTGCCAAATAACCTCTCTGCTTCAGAAGAAAAACAGCTCTTGGAGCTGGCTTCCGATAGCTTCCTGAAAACAAAATTTGAGCAAAATACACTGACGTCATTTTGGTTGGGGGTTAGCTCTGAATAGCCAGCTCTATCGGACAAAGCTGTCAAGTATCTTCTGCCTTTTCCCACCTCGTATTTGTGTGAGATTGGATTCTCTGCGCTGGTTGGCATCAAAACAAAAAACCGAAATCATCTTATTGACTTGGAGCCCCATCTTCGTCTTAAGATCACAAACATCGAGCCAGATATCCCTGTGATAGTATCTGGTCAAAAGCAGTTCCATCCCTCGCACTGAATAGTTTGGTTTGTACTGAAAATTTTTCAATACCGAAATAGTAAGTATTAAAACTAGTGCTTTCTTCACTAATCTAAGCAAACCAGTGTATTTTAATTTCAGAATGATATGAATTCACCATATATATATATACATGCTGTTCTGCCAGACTGTTGTTTTGCTTCTATTACTTTATTATTTCTAGTACTATTTCTATATGTAATTATTATTTCTATTAAGTTTTGTTTCAACTGTGTGTAATATAATTTTGTATTTATTTCTAATGAACATTTAATCCAGAATGAAACGAATTAGGAGTGTGTTATAAAAATGTGGCTACTAACACCTCCCCGCCCCCAAATTATCTTCACCGGAGAAGGGGTACGCCGGTAGGACAATTGTCTCAAAAGGGGTACGCAACTGTTGTAAGTTTGGGAAACACTGCTCTAGAGCACAGCAGCCTCTCTGGGGAGGGAATGGACTGAGGTGAGGTGTCGCTGGCAATGCACCATGCTGCACCTCTGGAGTGGAGATATCATTAAAACAATTCCTGCAGTCCATGCTGCTGCTCAGCACTTGCAGAAGGCAACATTTTTCTCTTAACAGTTCATGTAGTTTCCTGAACATACCCAGTGAAGGACAAAACCAAATACCGCTCAAGGTATAGAGAGCAAACCCTGGAAATTCTGTTTGTCCGGCTCATCAGTTGCCTTTGCAGTGAAGTTTAAGCCATTAGACGTCTAGTTCATGCTGTCCCTTTGGCTTCTGTTGCTGCACTATGTGTTCCTGACCTGCCTTTTTTGTCCCTTCCGCAGGCCGTGGGTTGAAGTCTCATGCTTACATTCACAGCGTACAGTTCAGCCATCACGTCTTTCTGAACCTCCACACCCTCAAGTTCTACTGTCTGCCAGACAACTACGAGATCATTGACTCCTCGTTGGAGGACATCACTGTACGTTGCCTTCTGGAGCTTTGCTGTCAGTAGTACCTGGGCAGTGGGGAGGGGAGAGGAGGGAGGTGGCTCCCTTCTCTCACATTGGAGGGCATAAGAATGTGCTCTTCCAGGATACAGTACGGTTTGTACCTGCATGGGCAAACTGCCTGTTGTGCCATATGGTCCAGATACACACCTGCCCAATGATCTCCATGGGGACAGGATAGACTTGGTAAGACCAGAAGAGCTGGTGGAATTGCTCCTGTAACTCACTGCAGAGAGCCCTGTGTGTTTGGGATAGAAGGGCCTGAATTAGACCGTTATTTGTGATGCCATATGCAGAGTATGGGCTGGATACATGTGTCCCCAGGCCCAGGTATTTTTGCAGTAGAAAGGAGCAGTCTGCCAAAGGCATTAGCAGAATATTGTGGGAATTAGGGGCAGAGCTGTTACAAATGAAGCATTATCGGGAGAGGAAGGATGGGGTAGTGGCTAGGGCATTATCCAGAGACTCAGATTCAATTCCTGCCTCAGACTCCCTGTATGACTTGGTCGGTCACTGAATTTCTCTGTGCCTTGGTCTCCATCTGTAGCTTAACCTAGCCCTGGTCCTTCGCTTTCACGTGGCACTGCTGCTGATCCCTGTCAGACCCCTTCACCCCCTCTGCAATTTTTTTGTAGATGTCCATGTTTCTACGGCTGGTCCGGAGCTGTGCCTCCACAGCCTCTTCTCCCCGTGGGCCCAGGAGATTCAATACCTCCTGCCTGCTCCAGGAAGGAGTGTGTCTAGTGCGTATAGCCGGCATGGTCGGTCGGACAGCTGCACACAACAAGGGGGGGCTGCTAGGTGTGCTCGCCAAGCCAGGCAGTCGTGGAAAAGCATTTTGAAAATAGGTCGGGTGTTTTAATGGGGGGTTGGCTCCCGGTTTCCATGACTCCTGGGCAGTGAAGTTCACCATTGTGACTAGAGCAGTCACTTGTCAGGCGTTGCGGGATAGCTGCTGGAGGACTGTAGGCACAGTGTCTACACTTGCACTGTTTCAGCCTCTGTAGGTTGACCATGGCTCAACATCATTCGAGGAGGTGGTTTTACTGCATCTCTGTAACACGGTCCTTACATTGGTGGGAGTCAAATCTGAATGTAGACACTTGCATAAATAGGTCGATGCAAGGTGGCTTATATCCGTATAACTTTAGAGGGGAAGTCGGTAGGTATTTAAGTTTTCATGTCTGAAGATGCTGACCATCCTAATTGTCCAGTGTGATCTGCCCCATGAGTCCCTAGGCCATACAGATGTAGCATGGGCTTTTCAGTGTTGGGTATGTGTCTTTTCATGCCAGGGTATTGGTGATGTTCTAGGGGCACTTTGAACTTACAGATCTCTTTACTTCAGTTACTGGGAGGACCTTGCATTCTTCACACTGAATTTTAAAAATACAGATTTTCTCACTCTTTGTTTATTTCCTTTCTTGCATTTTCCTTGCGTGGCCAGTGCAAATCAATGGAATCTGTTCTACTTCTATTTATCATCAGCTTCCCTTTAGACACTGCTGCCCTAATGTTTGTGCTGTAAATGCTTTTGGGCATCTATATTGTTTAAAAGCTGTTTCCAGTGAAATTTAAAAGACATGAGAAAACTCATGTTGGTCTTACATTTTGTTAAAACGTTATTTTTTCAAAATCTTCATTCTGATCACTTAGAATTGTGTGCCCCTTTCAGGTGATAAATTAGTTGGAATATGCTTCCCATGCAGTAAACCTGTCCTGGAAAAATCACCCAGTGATAAATATGGAACATGGTGCTGGAAGTCAGATCCCAGGAGCTGATGTAAAGAAGCTCTTAATTCTAAAGATGACTGGCTTGCTGCCTTTCTCTTTCAGTATGTGTTGAAGCCCACTTTCACCAAGCAGCAAATCGCCAATTTGGACAAACAAGCCAAACTTTCGCGGGCATATGATGGCACCACTTACCTGCCTGGCATTGTGGGACTGAACAACATCAAGGCCAATGACTATGCCAATGCAGTACTCCAGGTACAATAGTGGTAGTCATGCAATCTGTGGGGAGAAGCGTAAAGAGTGGGCAAACTGTGTGCATTCCCCCCCGCTCCCAGAGGTTCTGCCTTTCAGACCCACCCTCCCTCGGGATGAGTGGAATGATGTGGCCACATTTCTTGGCTCAAGATGGACTGCTGATTGCATGCTGGGATTTGTAGTCTCTTTGGCCTGCGCCTCTGTATTCAAGATGAGTGACTGCAGCTTGCTCCATTGTAAGCCGGTTGGACTCTTTCTCTAGGTTGGGCAAAAACTGGGTCTCTTAGATTTAAAACCTTTGTTTAGTTAATTGCTGGGGAATTCCCACATGCAAAGTTAACTTAACGTGGGCCACATCAGTGTGTGAATGGAGAGCGTTGTACCCGTGTGTCTGCTGGCATGGGGCCATGCTTTTACAATAATAGCGCGGGGCTTTTCTTCCCTTTTAATTTAACTGTATCATCACAGATACTGAAATTAATAAATTATTCCTACAACAAAATATGGCAAAAAAGATCAGCAACGTCCTATTTTCTATTTATGTTCTCCAAAGTTACTATAGATCTAGATCCCTGTATAGAGAGCCAGAATATTAAATTATCTTGCATGAGTATTTGAATCTCTGCAGATTTTCTCTGCCCCTTTTCCTCGTGTCCTGTGGGGGAGTACAAGGGAATCCTTCACCTGAATCATGTTTCCACAGGAAGCACAATCAGTTTATCGGCTTGTAGTTAATTAGTCTTTATTTGCTTGGAATCAAATCAGGCTGGAGGTTGGGAGAGCTCTGAACCTGCTGCCTGCCAGTGGGCGTATTGGGCTGAGTGATCACTTTGCCACTGACCTTTGAATGTCTGTGCCCAGGCCCTGTCTAACGTCCCACCTCTGCGGAACTACTTCCTGGAGGAGGAGAACTACAAGAACATCAAGCGCCCACCGGGGGACATCATGTTCCTGCTCGTTCAGAGGTTTGGAGAGCTGATGAGGAAGCTGTGGAACCCCCGAAATTTCAAGGCTCACGTCTCTCCCCATGAAATGCTGCAGGCCGTGGTCCTGTGCAGTAAGAAGACCTTCCAGATTACCAAGCAAGGTGAGACCAAGGGGAGATCTTTAGCACGTTCTTTTCCTTCAGCCACGCAGCAGAGCCCTAAAACATGGTGGCCTGGAGCAGCGGTTTGCGCACTGGGAGGGTGGGTTGCACTGGGAAGGGGATTTCATGCATTATCTGCAGTGTGACACTGCAGAGGGGAAAGCAGAGATCATGCTCACGCTAGTCTGAGGTCCTGGGGGGTCTGTGTTTGTGCCTGGGCTGTGGTGAGAACAATGCTAAATCTACGGGCCTGCGATGGACAAGAGACCCAATTGCTTGCAAAACTGCAGGGCTGAAAATGAATACTTTTTACCACTTGCAATCCGCTCTTCCTGCCTTGTATAAAGCATTCGTTCCTAGCCCTCAAGGTCTGTGAAACAATGGACTTTGTCGCATTTTGATTTTCTCTTTGGATTTTCTCCGCTTGGATTCTAATGTGATTCTCTTCTGAGTGTGAAATTGACATTCTGTGCCGTCTGAATGCTGAGAGTAGCCACCTCTGTGACACTCCCAGACCCAGCTGCGCCAGGGTATATACGTGTATAGCACCTAAGTCATGGACCAGTCCTCCTTCTTCTGAGGTTCTGTGCAGACATAGAACAAAAAGATGGTCCCTACCCACAAAGGCCTTACAAATAAGTATGGGACAGGAGACAGCAGGTGGATACAGGCAGACAGGGAAGCATGAGGAAACCGTGAGATAATACAGACCAGCATGATGGGCTGTGGTCACGGCACACCAGGTTCCTTATGGAGCAGCAGTAGGAGGTTGAACCCGCAGAGAATGAAATGCTTTTCATTGTGATTGCCATCATGAGGTGCCAGATGACAGGCTGGGCGGGGGAGGAGTTTAACTCACTGGCTCTGTGTAAACTCCTTCAGTGTTGGTTTCCTCTCTTGCTTTGTTGCCCTGACTCATTTTCCTCAATGTCTCCCTGTCTTCAGGTGATGGCGTTGACTTCCTCTCCTGGTTTCTAAATGCCTTGCACTCTGCTCTTGGCGGGACAAAGAAGAAGAAAAAGAGTAAGTTGGGGAAATGATGGTGTTTCTGTGACTGCTGCTTGTTTAGCAGATGTTAATTCATGTTTGGCCTAGCGTGTGCTGATGTGGATTCTCTGGAGAATAGGTGTCCACCAAGTTAACAATTTTAGTTTGCTTGTTAAAAAAGAAAAAGAAATCTCTCAGCTAAGACACCCCCCCTCCCCCAAATTCCATCCTAAGATACTTGGTTTGTTTCAGAGGCAAGTGAGTTTCCTGTGCACTCCCAATGCTTGTTTCAAACAGCAGCCACAGTGTAAAAGGAGAAGAGATACTGTCATATATTCACAAGTTAATTGGAATATTTACAGTTGTAAAGAGTCCGAAATGAGCCAGGTTTTCAAAAATAAGAAGACAACTTTGAAGTAACTAAATTCAGACAATAAAAATCACATCTGTGGTAACTGAGTGGGGTTTCTAGCACATCCTCTTTCCTCAGACTTTGTATTCAATACCCCCCCAGCCCCGCACCAGCCCACACAAAACTCCTACCGGAGCAAAGACTTCCTCAGCTTGGCCCTTTGTCTCATCTCTCCAGGTTAGGATTCCTCCCACTTCAGATGGAGCTGCTGAGCTCTTAACCCTGGTTAAATCACCTTTTCCCCGTACAGATTCCAACTGCAGGTGCTGGCTTCTTTACCTCAGAGTCCTAAAGTAATCTTGGTGATTTCAGCAGTGCAGCCAGTGGATCACTCCATGGCACCTGTCTGTTAGCCACACGCTCCCTCAGCATTCTCTTCCCTACATGTTCAGTGCAGTGTAACAGTCAAGGCAAGAAAACCATGTGCAGCAATCTGTTTCCTGTGCAGCTCTTGTACATTTCACATGTTCCTCTGAACATGCTGCTTCTGAATGTGCTGGTCACTGGAGGTTCCTGTCTTGGGAACTTGCACTGCCCCAGCAACTGGGATTCTCCACAAATGGCTTTCAGATCAGAGCCTTCTCTTCAGAGCTCTACTTGGTCACTGGTAACAGTTCTTTGCTCTGTCTCTGTGTGTGTTTTCACAGCCATTGTGACCGACGTGTTCCAAGGCTCCATGCGGATCTTTACCAAAAAGCTTCCACACCCTGACCTGGTGAGTTCACTTGGCCCCGACCACTCTGGGTTTGTGCCCATCCTTCACACATGGAACGTCCAGGAGCAGCGGAGCCCATGGTTGCATTGGGGGATGGGGGGAGTGCCACATGTGCACACCCAGCGGGCCTGTTTCAGTACAGTTCCTGGGTGTTACTGCTTGTGACTGGGGTCCCAGTGGGGGCCAGCTATAGCCACTCAATTAGGGTAAACTGCAAAGAATGGGGCAGACAATCTCCATAAAGCTGGTGGATATTCCAATACTTAGATTCACAAAGCCAGCACAAAACAGCTTCTTTATTGCCTTACTGGTTACTCAGCAGTCCAAACAACTCAGTTCCCTTAAAGTGATCCAGCCTCAGGCCTCCATCCAGGTACCCACGTCAAATATGATGAAAATTTCTGTAAATCTTATTTCATCATATAAAAGGAAAGGTTCTACCAATCCCAAAGGATCGGACACATTACCTCCCAGGTTATTGAATGTTTCAGATCTTACCCAAATACACACTGCAGCCAATTCTTATTAACTAAACTAAAATCTATTCAAAAACAAAAGAGTACGGTTAAAAGATCAATAACCAGACAGACATGAGTTCAGTTCACTGAGGTGCAGATTCATAGCAGAGATGGTGAGCTTCGTAGTTGCAAAGAGTTTTCAGAAATAGTTCATAGGTCATAGTCCAATGTCCAAATCTCGTATTCCGGGCGAACCAGCATAACTAAAGACCTCAGTCTTGCGACTCAAACTTCCCCTGATGAAGCCTCAGCAGATCTGAGATGACAGGATCAGGACCCAAGGATCTTTTTATACAGTTTCATGTCTTGACAGGTTGGGGTTCCTCCGCCATTCACAGACGATTTGCTGTACATCTCAAAGAGAGATGAATACTGAGATATCCTGTGTTTATAATTTATTTAAATGCTAGGATGTTCTTTTGATCTCTGAATGATCCGAATACAACATAGACAGGGACTGTTGGTTACATACTCATATATATGTAAATACACAAACACTCTCTCCCCACGTCTTTTGAGGGTTATTTATTTTGCAGGATGTTTAACCCTTTCTAGACATGTGTCACACTGCTGTAGGAAATTCTAGTGGAGGCTGCAGATGCACTTAGAGGAGCTACAGTCAGGGCCGGCTCTAGGTTTCTTGCCGCCCCAAGCAAAAAATTTTTTGGCTGCCCCCCCACCCCAGCCCTGGGCTCTCTCTTCCTCCCCCACCTGCACCCCCTGCTGCCCCATCCCTGGGCTCCCTCCCCCCCCAAATGTGACCTCCTCTTTCACCACAGCAGTCCCCGTTTACACTAACTTTACGGCTCCAAATGCACATGGAAGGCATAGGGACTAACCCGCAAACCTTGTACCCGGAAAGGGATGGGGATCTAGTAAAGAGGGTTCAGGCAGAGGAGCGGGTGTGGGGGTGCTTGGGGGCTCTACACTGTCAGAGAAGCGGGGTGTGATGTACTCGTGGAGGAGGGTGGAGGAGAGGGGGTATCAGGAGGGTTGCGGGAGAAGAGGTGCAGGGGAAGGGGGAGGTGTGGGAGGAGAGGGCTGGGGGAGGGTACAAGGGGAGAGATGCGGGTGAAGGGAGAGTACAAGGGGAAGGGGTGCAGGCGAAGGAGCGATGGGGGGAGGTACAAGTGAAGGGGCTGCGAGCGGGATGGGGGGTGCAAGGGCTGAGAGGGGCAGGCGCTGACAGCTGCTTCCCCAGCCCCGTGCAGGCAGAGCCGAGAGGACAGACACTGACCCCCAGGTGCCCAAGCCGTGGGGGGTCCCCCAGCAGGGCAGTATCCCCCGCTCGGAGCCGGGCTCTGCCTCTCCGCGCCCAGGGCTGAGGCGGGGGAAGTGCGCCACGAGCTGGGTCCTGGGGCAGGAGGGGGCGGCAGCACTTCCCTGGCAGCTCGGGCTGCCCAGCCACTCGCCCTGTCAGCGCACGAGCCGGGAGCCGCGCCCCCTGCCCAGCCCGGCGGTGCCCTGCACAGCCCCCTCGGGCGGGGAAACGCCACGCCACCCTGGGGAGACTCGGAGCAGCAGCAGGACCCCTCCCTCCCTCCCGGGCCCCACTTCCCTCCCTCCCTCCCTAGCTCCTCACACACAGGCTGGACTGCAGCTCAGGCTGCCCGGCTGCTGGAGAGCCAGAGCATCATCCCCCGGAGCTGAGCCCCTCTCGCCGCCCACCGCAGCCCAGGCTCAGCTCCGGGGGATGATGCTCCCGCTCTCCAGCGGCCGGGCAGCCTGAACTGCAGTCCAGCCTGTGCGACTCAGGCTGCCTGAGCGCCATCTAGCGACTGCAGCCAGAACTGCAGTGTCAATTCCAGCTCAGCCTGAAAGCCTCAGCTGACAGGGGACATCTTGGTTCAGGGCCGGCTCCTGACTTTGTGCGCCCCAAGCAAAAAAAAAAAAAAAGGGTGGGGGGGGCTGAAGTGCCGCCCCTTGGAAAGTGCCGCCCCAAGCACATGCTTGGAGCACTGGTGCCTAGAGCCGGCCCTGGCTACAGTGAAAGCAGATCACCTCACCCAACCCTGTTATCCTTGTGTCTGCATTGCCCATTGCAGAACCAGTGAAAGAGATGTCAAGCAATGAAGGCTTGCTATCCAAGACTGTCGTAATACAGGATCAGGGCAGACCTATCAAGTCTGCGACCCTTTCCTCGTGCCACCGCAGGTCTACTGGGATGGGAGCATAGGTGACTGAAGTTGCTTAGGGGCAGTAGAGAGGCAGGGTGGGTGAGGTCATATCTTCTATGGACCAACTTCTGTTGGTGAAAGAGACGAGCTTTCGAGCTTACACAGAGCTCTTAGGGTACTCAGTGTCACAGCTAAATACAAGGTGGAACTGGTTGTTTAGCATAAGGAGTAACACGTATGGTAAGAGACCATTTAAGGTGAAATGGGCAGTCATAGGACAAAAAAGTGGGGTTAGTGGGTGTACAAGGGTTAACCAGGACTCGACCCTCTCCGGGGCGGCGGGGAGCCACACCGGCTCACTACACACAGTCGTTTGGGGGAATTAATCTGTCCGCGGGGGTCTCCCTCGGCAGCCCTTACGGTAACTGAAATAAACACCGTAAGCCCAGGCCCTGGGTCAGGGCGGGCAACAATGAGTCAGGGCTCAGGCCCTCAGGCAGGGCTGAGCAGTAGCAGTACAAACAGTGCGGAGCCCAGGCCCTGGGGCAGTGCAGAGTCAGAGCTCAGGCCCTCAGACAGGGGTGAGCAGTGACAGTACAAGCAATAGGAAGCCCAGGCCCGGGTCCGGGCGGGGCAACAATGAGTCAGGGGCTCAGGCCCTCAGGCAGGGCTGAGCAATGACAATAGGTCCCAGCCTCCTCAGGCCTGGGAGAGGGGGAGACTGCCACCCACGAGTTGGGTGGCAGGGGGG